CCTTTTTTCCCAGGCTATCAATTCTATATTAACATCATGTTCCTCCTTTTCTTCACTCCTGAAGCCTTGCCCTTTTTTGTCCCCCCTCGAATATTGACTGAATGGTAATTTTTATCCCTGGGTCACCCCTACCATTTAAGTTGTCTGTTCCTTCTCTCAAGCTACTGAATATTGCAGGAAGGATTTGGTCCCATGACAAATTCATATTATCTGTCAGCATAGGAAAAACAGTAAATTTAGAGTCCTATGACCTGGGGCTGAATCCTGACTCTGCCACTTCAAACCTAAGTGACTTCCCTAGGTTTCTGGTTTCCTTATCATAAGGTAATCTTGGTCTCTTCCAGTTCTAAATCTGTTCTGGGCCCTCACCATTATATCTATACAAATACATTTAAACTCATCTCTAATTGATTCCTTATTACACACTCCTCCCCCAACTAAAATAGGTTTCTGAAATCTTCCCAACATCATGCAAACCATCTTATTTCCTAGCAGATTGACTCACCCCCTTTTTCAATGAGGAAAACCAGGTTCCCTCATCTATTCTCTCTACCTCAAAAACTCTTCTTACCTTCATCCCTCCTAGGTTTCATAGCAGATAGAACACTAGACCTGGAGTAAGGAAGACCTGAATTCAATTTTTGCTTCAGACACTTACTAGCTATCTGACCCTGCGCAAGTCACTTAACTCCTCTCAGCCTCGGTTTCCTCATCAGTGAAACAGGGACAACAGTAGCACCTATCATAGAAGGTTGTGGTAAGGATCAAATGAGACAATGTTATTCCTTTGTTTCAATCTTAAGAGAGTGAGAAAGTAATTATTTTTGCCACAGCTAATCTTTCCACTTTTGCCCATGACCCCAATGGCTCTTCTATTCCCTTCAAGATTTGACGCTTATTGATTACTTGGTCCAGATGAACTACATCCCCAGACCCTGAAAGTAGTAAGAGGTGAGACTGCTGAGCTACTGACAGTGATATATGAAAGAATATGAAAACCAGGAAAGCTAACACAAGATTGGAGAACTGCCCTTTTTTTAAAAAAAGAAAGAAAACTATCTGTAAAGTATAGGTCACCTTGAATCTGATTCTTAGGAAAATTCTATAGCAGTTCATTAAAGAGATGGTTGAATATCTAGAAAGAAATAGCAATTACAAAGAGTCAGCATGGCTTCATCAAGAATAGATCATGCCAGACTAACTTAATTTCCTTTCTGACAAGTTTACTACACTAGAAAGCGAGGGGAATGCTATGCATATATTTACCTAGATTTTAAATAAAGCTTTTGAAAAAGTATCTCATACAAGTCTTGTGAAAATGAGAAATATGAATTAAGCAATAATGGAATCAGAACTGGTTGGATGGCCGGTTTCAATCTGTTAATTATTCAATGTCAATATGGTAGGAGGTCTCCACTGGAGGATTTGTACCTGGTCCTATGCTGTTTAACATTTTAATCAATAACTTAGAAAAAGGCACAAATGACTTGCTCATCAAATTTAAAGATGACATAGAAGTAGGAGGGACAACTAACACTGTGGATAACAGCCTCAAGATCTAAAATAGGGATTCTTAGTCTTTTCTACATCACAGACCCCTCTGAAAATCTGGTGAAGATTATGGAGCCTTTTTCAGAATATTTTTAAGTGCATTAAACACATAGAATTACAAAGGAAACTAGTGATACTGAAATACAATTATCAAAATATGTGTTTTTAAAATTCACAGACAGTTAAGAACCCTAGAGTTAAAGAAATTGGAGCTATTAAACCTGAAGAACACTCACAGGGTAGAGGGACATATGATGGCTATCTTGAGGTATTTGAAGCCCTGTCAACTAGAGGAGTCACTGATCTTGTGTCTGGATCCCAGAGGGAAGAACAAAGAACAATGAGTGAAGGCTGAAAAGAATATCTAGGATTGATGTCAAGACTAACTTTCTAATAATCAGAGCTGTCCAAAAGTAGAATGGCCTGCTAGGAACATGGTGGATTCCCCCTTTTTGGAGGTCTTAAAGCACACACTGGATTACCACTTGCTGGTATATTATGGTGGGGTCCCTTTTAAGTAAAAGTAGCACTAGATTACTACAAAGATATCTTACAATGCAACTTCTGTGATTCATTATCCCTTACCTCACAAATCTAAGTAGTTGCCAAATCTTCTCATTTTTATTCCCACAACATCTATTCTTTTTTCTTTATTCATATGGCCAGGACCGTAGTTCAGACTCTCATTACCTTCTGCCCAGACTACCGCAATAGACTCCTAATTGGTCTCCCTGAATCAAGGTTCTTTCCATTCCAATCCATTCTTCACACAGATACCAAAGTAACCATGTGATTTCCTACTCAATAAATTTTAGCGACTCCCTAGTAACTCTAAGGTCACATATTTCTTCTTTTTCTTGTCCCTTTCAAATTTCTATTTTATGTATTTTTTAAATGTACATATTTGTTGGTATAATACTACACGTATATATGCATATTGCTTGGATGTTCAAAATTCTTTACTCACAGAGATGTACAATCAAAAAGGTCTGGAGACCACTGTTCTAGACAAACTGGAAAAACTAGCTGTCCCTTGAAAATTCCATTTCCCATTTCAACAGCAGCACCCTCAGCTGTGGGGAACCTGAGGCCTCAAGGCTACATGTGGCCTTCTTGGTCCTCAAGTGAGCCCTTTTGAATGAGTCCAAGTTTTATAGAACAAATCCATTTATTAAGGAGATTTGTTCTGTAAAGTTTGGATTCAGTTAAAGGGCCACACTTGAGGGCCTAGAGGGCCACATGTGGCCACAAGACCTGTAGACTTTACTCCTTCATTAGATACACCTTTGAAAATCATTCTCTTCCATCAAGGCTCAGTTCAGCACTGTATTCTCTTCTCAAATTTTCTGCAGTAGTTTCCACTTTGCCTCTATCAAAGGGGACATGTCTGTTCATTTCATGTCCCACTAAAAGAATGTGAGCCTCTAAGGAAGACAAACCATGATTTATCTTTGTAATCTTAGACCCCAGCATAGTTCCCCACACAGAGCAGGTCTTAATGTCTATTCTACCAAATAAGAGTTTTATCCATATTGAAATATTCCTTTTGTATTCTTTCATACTTTAATTTATGTCTGGGTTTGTTGTATTTTTGAACACCATATACTAGGGAAAATGGGCTATTCTGACGCAGGTAAGAAGCAAATCAGAGGTAGCTACGCGTGTGTGTATGTGTGTGTGTGTAAGAGTATGCATGTGCGCGTGCGCATTTTAAGGGCAAAATAGATGAAGAGATACTCAAGAGAATGCCAGATGTATTCCTTCATCAAACCCCAGGTGATTTTATTCTGCAAAGTATCTTTACAGCATCAAGTCCTAAGTGTGCTTTCTGTTTTGTTATTTAGTCGGATGTAGGAGCAGTGCTGTCATTGCTCACATTTCTACCTTTGAAGCATGGACCCAATGGATTTATAGCAGTATGAATAAGTAAAATAAAAGGTTGCTGCTTATTAATTTTTTAAAAATTCTTTACTTTGCTTTTTTTCCTGCATTTCTAAATAAAAATAGATGTAGATTCTTGAAAAAAACTGCTTTTAGGAAGGCAGTGTGACATAACAGAATAAACACTGTATTTTAAAGGAGGGGACCTGGGTTCAAGTCCCAGCTGTGTAACCTTGTTCAAATGATCTCTGAACCTTAATTTCCTTATCCATTAAAGGCCAATACATACATATACTATCTCACAAGTAGTTCCTAACATTGTATCTAACTACAAAGTACTTCAAAGACTTAAATCAGGAAGGGATTTTGAAGCACAGTTAGTCCAATCCTCTAATTTATAAATAAGGAAGATGAGGCACAAAGAGGTTAAATGGTTTATCTGCTTGTGGTCACACAAGTCACAAATCAGAGAGCTGAGATTTTAATTGGGATCCTCTGAATCTAATCCAGTCAACCTTCTGCTGATCCATGCCACATATCCAGTATTATCATTTGGCAAAGAACATTAATAAAAGTACACTGCAATTCAGATAGTTATAATTTTATCTAAAAGTTTTTCTACCATATACTTTTTATAAACTATCCTGGAGAATAAAGGATAAGCAGCAAGATTGGGGGGGAAAAAACCCTTTTCTTCATTCTGAAATGTTTACTCCCCACCTTTTGGGAGAAGGAAGGGAAAAGGGCAATATGAATTTTAAAAAAAGCAAACTATCCCTTCCCCCTGTTTTTCTGGTCCTTCATGTCTCTACTTTTGGATTGTTCCCACTTAACTTTCTCTTGCTACCACCAACATCCTCATTTACAAGCCCTTAATACCTAGATCAATGTATGGGACAGGGCTCTCTAATTTTAGCCTTTCTTTCCTGCAATTTATCCTGATTTGAACAAAAAGTCAAACAGTTCAAAAGAAATAATGGGAAAAATCCAAAGAAAAGGGAATTAGAACTAGCAGGTCTCAAACTATAACACAACATCAAAACTATTTAGAACTGGTTTAAAAAAAAGTACTATCAGTGGAACAGACTAACAAAATAATGTAGGGCTTGATAAAAACCCAACAATACAAATTATTGGGATAAAAACCTGCTATTTGATATGAAGAGTAGAAAGCAAAAAACAGATTTAGATGAGCATCTTTCACTACATACCACATTAAGTGATAAAACTAATTGTCTTGCTCCTAAAAACACTGGGCCAGACATACAGTGTACTCTATGTATGTTTTATATAATTACGATTGATAGATAATTCATAACCAGATAAGAAACAGATTATACAAAAAAACCCTACCAATTTTTAATGCGTTTCCACAGAAATAAGAAACAAAGTAGGTGCCTATTATTAGGTAACTGCTAAGCAAACAATGGTACATAAGTGCAATGGAATATTACTGTGTTGTAGAAACGATCAATATGAAGAATTCAAAGAAACATGGGAAGACATATGAATGATGTAGTGGGGTAAGCAGAATCAGGAAAACAATATACACAACGACAACAATATGAATAAAAAGAAGATAAAAAAAGGAAGCTGAATGCTGGTCCTAGAAAAGAGATAATGTACACCTCTCTTCTTTCTCTGAAAAGGTGAAGGAGACTATGGTGTGGAACACTGCATACACTATCAGACTATGTTGGTTACTCTTACTGAACTGTTTTTTTCCTCTCTCACTATTTTGTTCTTTGTTACAAAGGATGGCTTGTTGGAGAGGTATACAGAGCATTCCAAAAGTCAGTGCAGCTGTAAGCTAAGATATACATTGTACATCTGGAAATGAAGATGATGTTTTAAAAAGCAAAAGATACCAAGTCTTCAAAAAACTTTTATACCAACAAGATCAATGTAACTAGAGTAAAGTAAAGAAGCCAGTGACTGGGGGAAATCTTTGAATCAAGCATTTCTCACAGAAGTCTGACATCAAAGACACATTGAAAATCAACAAATCTTACATTAAAAAATCAACACAAATTTCTAAGACCAAGAGGCATTCATTCTTTAACAGGTAAGTGTCAAAACGAAGAGTTTCAAAATAAGAAATGAATTCTAACCATAAACACAGGAAAATACACTAAGTCACTAAGAATAAGAGAAATATCAATTAAACTATTCTTAAGTTACTGCTCTCAAACCCAACAAATTGACAAAACTCACAAAAGATGAAATTCATAATGTTGGAGGGACTGAGGGAAAAAAAAACCCACACTAATTTGCTGCCAGTGGACCTATGAATTAGAATAACTGTCCTGGAAATAATTTTGGAATTACATGAGAAAAGCTAATGGGTCATCTCTGCCCTCTAGGTGACTACCCCGTGATGGTCAATGACAGAAAGAAAGGTTCCACTTATACCAAAATAATCATCACATCACTTTTTTTTTAATTGCTTTTTGGTGAGGCAATTGGGGGTTAAGTGACTTGCCCAGAGTCACACAACTAGTAAGTGTCAAGTGTCTGAAGCCAAATTTGAACTAAGGTCCTCCTGACTACAAGGCCGGAGCTCTAGCCACTGTGTCACCTAGCTGCCCCCCACATCACTTTTTGTAGAAGCAAAAAACCAGAAGCAAGGTACCCGGGTATTTGAGAATGTGAACTTCAATACAGAGTATTCCAAAAGTCCCAGTGTAGTTTTTAAGCTTTCACTTAAAGGAAAAGAGTTTGCTATAGAAATGTTGATCAAGAAATGTTTAAGTTTCAGTTTAAAACCGCACTGAGACTTTTGAGACATCCTGTATATTAATATAATGGAATACTACTATGCTTTAAGGAATAATAAATATTAGGAATTCAAAGCAATATGAGAAGACTTATATGAATTGAGGCAAAGTTAAGAATGTACAAAATGCCTATAATAATATAAAAGACAACACAACTCAGATTAAATTAAATGACCAATATCTGCTGCAGATGATTGGTGTTGGAACATACTTCCCTACTCTCAGGAGAAAAGTGATCGCTGTAGGTAGAACATAACATTTGGTCAGATATCATGATGCAGTTATATTTAGTTACTTTTGTTATAAGGTCAGGGGGTAGAGATTGTTGGGAATGAATGCACAAAAGAAACTATTAACACAACTTTTTCTTTTAAGCCTGCGTATTCTCTTTCTTTAATATGGATGTCTTTTGACCCTTGTGTAGCACACTCCAAAAGAATGTGGAAAAATCAGTTTACAAGTCAAGTTTTGTTAATATTTTCTTTATCATCTTTTCCCATAATAATGTCTTTTTTCTACACATTTGGTATCTTCTTTTATTTCATATACCTTGAAAAATCAATCCCACAATACTCCCTAAATTTTATCACCTCTAACACAGAATCCCCAGTGGGTACTTGGTAGTCCAACAGTTTTCCCCACCTTCAGTTTTCTTTAGTGTCATTTCTACTTTCTCATGAAGGATATCAGGATTATAATGTTACAGTCCTAATGTGGTCACTACATTCTAAATGACGATTAAAAGTTTTTTAGCAATGATCACTTTTTTTCATTTTTCCCCCCCTGTTTGTTGTCTTTCAGTTTCATTCTTAAATACCTGTGTGATATTTTGGTCTAACTAGATCTCTCATCAAACTTTACATAAACTTGTTTCCCCACCACTGTTTTTTTGCTGTTCTGCTCAAAGATACTTACTCATAATTTTTTAAAAACTGAACTCTATAAACTTCTGGAAGGCATTTTGGCCTTTTGAAAGGCATTTTGCTAACTGTTTGCTGGCTAAGCTGATTTTTAGGTTGTTTTGTTTTCCTTGTTTGACAGATTGATTTCCATCAGTTAAACTTCCTTAAGAAACTGTAAGAGTTTATTAATGTCTGTTATTTATTTCCCATTTCTAGCATAAACAGCTTATTTACACTAGTCTGACTGTAGTTGCTTCAAGTACATACTGAGCTTCTCACTTTAATTTGTTCTTTTAGTTTAATACTGATTTTGGTCACTGCTTTAACAAATCTGTGGTCTGACTATGTACACAGATGACTGGGAAATAATCCTCACATTGGTAATCAGTTCTTTCCCATCTATTAAGTAAGGATCAATTTCATTTCATTTTTTGCAGTGCAAATGCTTATGAAACAATACAATATAAGATGACCAGTGTTCTATTAAATTATGTTCCTAGTTGCCTTTAGATGCATGATAAAAACAACTCTGCCAACTCCTTCAACAAAGGAAACCAGTATAGGAACCATTCTACTGTTTTGGTGTTTTGTCCTCTGATTCCCTATACTGTTAAGAAGATCTAGGCCTTCTTAACTAAGACGGTAAGTGGCAGAGAAGTTGCTGACCTGCACTAGGGGAAGACTTTCCTTACTAGGAGCTTCTTCCATCAATGAAATCACAGTCTAATCTTATTACCTAAAAACGTCAAAACTGATACGGCTTTAGTTCCAGTAGGATGTCCAGTTTATCACTAGAAAAGATCTTACATTCAGAGTACTAATTGCTAAAGGTTTATAGACAATCTGTAATAATTCTTTCTATCCTGTACACTTTCCATCCATTCTCCATTCTGCTCTTCTGTCCCTACCACTGCTGAAGTAGTATACACAGGCCTGAAGGGGTCTTTGCACTTTTCTTTGTCTGAAACACTGATGCAGTCAAAGAATTCGCATATTGAAGATATGCCTCTGCAGAGGTTAGGCAGGACCACAGAAAGTAGGTAGTCCTTAGCCTAGACCCTGGCCTATATATTCAAAGCCTTTTCAGCAAAAGAGAAGCCTTGGAGAACCTGTGGTTAACTCCTGAAGTAGGGTAAATGTAATAGAAAGTCTACTAAGGAGAATATAAGGATGTATGTGAGTTACAATATTTACACTTGGGAAAGGATGAATTCTTGAAGTACTGATATAAATACCATTTCCTTTAACACTGACTAGTGTTTCCTTAACAATGACTAGCAGAGACAGGAAGTAAACAGAAACAAGGTTTTTGTCTTCATAACTCACAATCAAATGAGAAAACATAAATATATTAAACCTTAAAGTGCTATGTAAATAAGAAATATAATTACAATATAGCTGGGGGGATAACTTACATACAAAAGCAAAATTAGAGTACAAATGATTGACTATCAAAATGATTATTATAAATTTTAAATACAACAGTATCTCTGGGAAGTTGGAGATCAAGGTGGGCAGACAAGAGTGGTAAAGAAAGGCCTTATGGAGATACTGGTCACCAACAAGAATATGATAAATGGGTAAAATTTGGATAAGAGAGAAAACAACTTTCCACACGGAAAGAATCTGTCTAGGCAAATACAATTTGTCAACATATGCACTACTACAAAAAATGTCTATTTAAAGCTGGGCTTAAAGAAACATGTGAGGTGTCTTTGGATAAATGAAAACAAAATAAAATAAAATTTAAAAACCCACAGCAGAGTAAATATCAAAAGAAACTGAAATGTGTCCAAACATCTAAAGGAAGGGAAAACTTCATTTCTAACATTTTCTTGTTCAAGACCATGTACAGGAAAAAGGAAGTGTCTTAATAACTCTTAAACCCTGAACACCAATTCCCAATTCCTCTTTTCCACTTCTGACTCAGAGAATTTTAATCAAATCAATGCATTCTTTACCTCTGGAAAGGGTGGGTCAAATGACTGACCTATTGCTGCACTCAGAATTCTTCTCAGACTTTTAAGACTCAAAGTCTGTGGCACCCTACTATTAGACTGTCAGCTTCTTGAGGGTGGGATCTTAGGGGTGGCTGTAGTGGGTGGGAACAAATTCAAACAGCTTATTATTTTGCAAAACAGGCCAAATTCAGTCATTCAGTGCCTGGCTCTCTGAACACAACTTCACCTTTCCACCCCTAAACTTCCCCAAAATGTCATGTCCTGTTTAACATACTGCCTTAGAGAATCAAAGCAAAAAGAAAAATAAAATTAATGAAATCCTCTCACCATCACATACGCTTTACTTACAAAAACCAAAAACTGAAATAATCACATTTGTTGCTTAATACTTTAAGACTTATTTCCTGTGGCTTTCTTAAAATTTGGAGAAGGAAATGGCAAACCACTCCAAGTATCTTGGAAAGATACCCCAAATGGGGTCACAAAGAGTCAGACATGATTGAAATGACCGAACAATCTTAAAGTTATTTAAACTGCCTTTCTTCAATATAGTTTTTAAAAGGGGAAAACAAACATAAAACATCCTCACCAGGGTGATTCTTTTGCCTTCCAAAAGCAGGAGACAGGCAAATGACCTGCCTATACAGTAAAAACCATATTATTATTCTGATGAAAATTAATTGAGAGCTGGCTTATTTGTAAAATGAAGTGACTAATAACCTAGCTAAAGTAAGCAAAGATTCAGCTGAATTTGCCCAACGTAATACTTTGGGGTGGCAAAAATATTTAACATTTTTAAAGCTTAGTATTGCTTTGGTGTGCCTCTGATGTATGAAAGTATTTAATTATGAAGTGACCACTAAATAAACTAAAAAGAATAAGTAGTAGTTTTTTTAAATGGATGAAAAACATTCCTAGACCTAGATCATTGTGACCGAGACGACCAAAAGCAGATGGGTCTAGGAAAGACAGTGATTCATGACTTTTGCCCAGACCCACTTATGGCTGGGGTAAGCAACAAGGAGGCTCCCAGAAAGCTTTGGGTCTCTGCCAGCACCCACTGCCAAAGCCAGCTCACAAGCTCTCTTCCTCCTGGAGAAACTGGAAGACCAAGGAGAAGTCTTTCTGGGCATAGCCCTTGGCACACATCATCCTATAGATCTGTGCAACAAGCCCCTGGGAAGGACCAGGCTTTTTGTTCTGGTAACAGAGTCCTGTGCCAAACCCAGATCCTTGGCCATAAGCAATGTTCCAAATCCATTATTAATAGAAGGTACTCCATCCATTACCTCTGGTACAGGACTGTAAGTGTCACTTGACCAACAATGACCTGAGCTCATATTCAGAATTTTAGCCAACAGTTTTGGATCAAGACCCAACCTGTTTCCAAGATTCATTGTTTCAGCAGTCCAGATCACGCTGATG